AAGCAGAAGGTCTATATAGACAACTGGGCGCATTCGTAATCATACTGGGTTCCGGAGAGAGGGGACGGTGGTGCTGATGGTGGTGATGGTGGCGGTGGCGGTGGTGACGGTGGTGGTGGGGATGATGTTGGTGATGGTAGTGGTGGTGGTTGATGGTTGATGGTTGATGGTTGGTGGTGGTGGTGGTGGCGGTGGTAGTGATGGCGGCGATTGAAGGTCTAAGTCCAGAGTTCCAGAGGTGCTAGAAAGGAGGCGTATGACAAGCACACGCATGAGGGCACACACTCATGACAGCGCACAAAAGGGAGCACATTTATACATAAGCGCACGTGTGAGAGGACACATATGAGAGTGCGCTGCAAGGTTCACAGGCCTGCCATGAAATCAGTACTGCAAGGCCACAAAGTGCTGCACCTGCCACGAAGTCTGCACTTCAAGGTTCACTAGGTGCTGCGCCTGCAACGAAATCTGCACTCCAAGCTCCACAAATTGCTGTGCCTGTGGTGAAATCTTCGCTTCAAGGTTTACAAAGCGCTACGCCTGCCATGAAATCTGCACTTCAAGATTCACAAAGTGCTGCGCCTGTCACGAAATCTGCACTCCACAGTCCATAAATTGCTGCTGCGCCTGCCATCAAATCTGCACTTCCAGGTCGACAAAGTGTTGAGCCTACCACGAAATCTGCGCATCAAGATTCACATCGCAGCCCTGCCAGGGCATTTCACAGCTCGAGCGCTTCCAAGTACATCAGGATGCCAAAGCGCATCAAAACGCAGCTTTTGCTCAAGACTTCCCCCGATTTCTGAAAACGAACCACATGCTGCACATGCCAAGGGTCACGATTCACTGCACCTTCCACGAAATCATTCAGAGCGCCGAAGATCACCACCATTGCGGCTGCCACGAAATCTGCACATCGAAGTGTAGGCGCTCCGATCTCCTGCGCCTGCCACGAAATTGTCGACTTTGGACCACCAAAGCACGAGGTTTCCCTTGCGCCTGCCACGAAAAGTGATCACCAAGTCACCAAGTCCGAAAATGTGCACGGCGCTACAACGAGCAGTCGAGAAGAGCAACCGCTCGGCCACCAATTTCAGCGAGCCTGCGCAATCGAAATGCACTTTGAAGATCTCAAGATATCTCAAGGTGAATAAATGTACTGAGCAACACTGTTTGAGGAAAACACATCCCTTCGGTGAGTGGTTTGGTGTGATTCCACCGTCAAACCAAAATATCACACACTCACACACTCCCTCCTCCACCAGGGATGACTCAACCCGCAAATTCGGCCACCCTTTCCAAGGTCCGAGGTCCTGGCCTGGCGTCCACGACCTGCAGCAGGATACATGCTCGGGTGTTCTCCAGAAAAGGTGCTTAGTCAGTTCGAATTCAAGAATCCAGGACTGGACTGTGTCCATCTTCGATCTCAGAAGTGGATTACCAAGAAGAGCATCTCAATGAATCCAGGATTTCCGCCATCGAACTAGGAACCTTGTGGATTGCCCTCCAACTTCTGCAAAAAGAGGATTGGAATCCTTCCTCTGTTTAGGACCCCCTCAAAGCCATGGGATCAAGCATTCTTACACTTGTTCGAGGGATGCTTTTCAAGTGAACAAAGACCAAGGTGTTCTTTTGTCATGTGGTGTAAGTCTTCAATTTGACCATGACTATGAGGCAATCTTGAAGATCTAAGAGTCTGCATGCAGGGGCCCATAGAAATTGGGTTGCCAGGTGAACTTCATGAAAAACGTGGCAATATGATCTTATATAAAACTAGTTGATCAGTTTCTAAGCTGCTTTGCAGCTATGCATTTTTTGGGCGGCATAATTGAACGGTTAAGGCTTATTGACCTACATAGCCCTACCATCTCCATAGACTCAACATTAAGAGTGCTCACCTATCCTTCCATCCTCCTCCCTGGTAGATGTAGGTTACTTACCCCATGCCCATGCCCTTCCACTTCAGCCACCCCGGGAACCCGCTGTGCTGGAAACGGCCGTACTCGACCGTACTCGGAGTCCGGACATAGGCCGGACGATAGGTCCCGGGGTCACTCTCATCCGCCTTGTGCCGTGGCCTCGGTGTGGTGCTTTTTGGGGCAAAGAACACAGGGCTCCTGGGATGCCTGGGGTGCAGCACCGTGCGGGTGGTGTTCAAGTGGTGTTACCACAATCCTGGACGTACGAAATAGGACAACATATTCAGACCTCTTCCAGCAAATATAATTATAGAATAGTTATAGACTATAGAAGTGACAGTGAACAACACCTGCATGAAATGAGTTTGGTTTAGAGTCTGAGTGAGATTCTCTTTGACTTGGAAATGTTCTTTACCTCGCCCCAAACCTCATTTGCTCCAATTCTTTCACCTCTCTCTGGTAAGTAGGGGATGGCGATGTTCCAGCTGGCACCTGGTCAGACTATGAGACTATCCAGCTTGGCCACAGTTGGCACTCCCAGGGACCCCCGACAGCATGCCGGTGGGCAGAACCTTATCGATGAAGTCCTTGCGGTGACGACGTGCTGCGGCCAACCGCGTGAGGACGCGGGCGCGGAGGCGTACGCGTGGGCGTGGGGGGGGGCGGCAGTTGGTAGCGAGCACGGCAGGAGCAAATGTTGGAACGAATCAACTAGTTTCCAACACCTCCGAAGGGAGACATTGTGGCGTGGCTTCATCCAACATACTTAAGGTGTGTCCGAGCCGGCCATTCAAATGCTTCGCGTTGGCGACCATGAGGTTTCCCGGAGTCCTGTGAGGGTGAGAAGACTGGATGTCCGACAAGGCGGGTACCCGACCCGAAGAATAACCAGAAAGTTCATACATTTGGATAGATATCTTCGGGCCTCTACCACTTCTAAGTATTATAGGCAATAATTAAGTCTCGAAATGTGTCTTGAAGGAGATCAGCCATGACCTGTTCAAGAAGAACCTCTCACGTTCTGCTGGAGTCTTCACGCATCACAAGCTTTGCACTTCAATCAACTGGCTGGTACTCAATCCATGGACAGTTCTTGTCTTACTTGCTCATGTCCGAAAGCGGACACCAACCATCGCTGATCACTTTACATTTGTTCCGTGTCAGGAAAATCAATAAATTGAAGGCACGAGTTGAAGCAATTATACCTCTGCAGAGTGATGATGGTGCTGTGTCCTCGATCTGCTCTTAACATGTTCACGAGAATCTTGCTATATTGCTCTCTTTAGCACAGTGAATCCCCAAAAGTGGTTACCCTACCACAAATGCATGGTGGTAGGTAGTGCTAGAAGTTAAGATCTCTTAATGTGTTTCTTCCATCCCATCAGACACCACCTTGACCCTATCACAAAACTAGCGCTTCCCCGCTTGGGGCTAGTGTTTCCCTCACTCGCCATGACAAACGTGACTCCTTCGGGTACATCATGAAGTGGAAGCCCTGTTCCGCCCTCATTCCGGCGGATCGATTCAGAATCACTGGTCAGACGTGGACGCGGCAAACGACGCTACCGGTAGATGATCGAACAGAATCTCTGCAAACTGGACTGCTCAACGAAAACCACCAGGAAAAACTGTTCAAACAATGCAGTTTCCATGTCTGGAGCTGCGGATGAAACAACCACGAAAGCCTTCCAAGTCGTCACCAATGGACTATCAACCTACACCCATTCCACCAGGAAGTTTCAGGATTGGTATAAAAGCAAGGGAATGACGTGTCCGGCGACGTTTTGGGGCGATGTACCACGTCACATTGAGCAACCCCTTCCACCTCTCAACTTCTCCAGTTGTGTTTCCAGGCGATCGAGACGTCTCGAAAAGCGATCTAGAAAAAGGCAATGATAAATACAAAAAACTGTCAATATCATATCATTGCAAAATATCATTGCAAAACTCCTACATTGACAATCTTGTTTCGAACATCGTCAAGGCAAATCTTGGGAGGCCACCGCTACAATTGGAAACAGCGTGCAATTTGCCCTTGGACAGTATTGGAAGCTGGGACCCGCCAAGAATGCACCTCGCTTTAGACAAGATGCAAGACCCGCCAAGAATGCACCTCGCTTTAGACAAGATGCAACAAATGGATGACTAGAACCACTATTGTCACCAAGAAACATCGGTTGGAGGGTCTAGGTATTGGATTTGTTGATATGTGAAGGCAAAGCAGGGCTCTCTAAAAGCCATTGCCATCCATCTCCGACGGAATCTCCGGCTGCACAGCCAAACGCAGCCGTGACGGCGTCTGTTTCTGAGGCCACGCTGCCAGGAGATGGCACCGGGAGAAAAGCTGGTGCCTGGAAAAGGCAACTCTGACCGCAGGCACCAGCAAAATGTTTCTATGTTTATTAATATATGATATATGTTTATATATCATTGTTTTAAAGTGTATATGTGATAAAATGTTGATAAACACTGAATAAAATGTCTATATGTAATTCATATATTCGTTCTTCCTGGCCCTCAGATTACAGATTCTAACTTGTAAATTGATTGGTCACACGGTCATACCAAAGCCATGTCCTGTCTTCCAAAACGAGCACTTTGGATGTCCACCAGCGGACGATCTGCATATATAACAAACTCTGTAAAGCCTGGCAGCCGCAGCTCCCAACGGCTCGGTCTATCGCCCCTGTTTTCGATGCACAGCCGGCTGCAAATGGTAGTTTCATGCAACTGCAAACCCTCAAGCTGAAGTGAACTATAGAACAGTGAAATATCAAAGAGCAAAACAACGTAATGCTTTTTGTTTTACGTCTTTCTCCACTCTCCACAAGTCTCGTCTGGATCCATTCGATTCCTTGCCCGACATAGGAGCGACACCGGCCACACCAGTCAGCCGCTGTATCGGAGTCTAACGCGCTACTCAGCCTGATGCTGAAACAGCAGTTTCGGCCTGTTCGGGGGGGAACACCTTCAGAATTTCCTTCGAAAGGAGGCCGCTTCGGATGCTCCGCTGGATGGGTCTTTGTGGAAGCTGATCTTTGCAAGGTAGCAGCGTTGCCCCTTCAAGAATTACTAATTGGAGAAGTGTGGATCACACAGCGAACTTGCCTTTCTTCCAGCACGCTCTTGTCAACAAAACTAGTTTCAACGGACCCATCTGATCGGATAAAAGCCTGACCCATCACCGTGGGCTCATGGCTCATGGCTTTACTGCTCTGGTTGACTCAGCTGGGATCTTCACGTTGTCACAAGGCCAGGAAGTGGGCAACAGGCTGGAAGCGCTCTGCTCCGGTTGGTGCTCTGCACATAACCTGAGAAGGATGGATGGTCCGGAGAAGAGGAAGGGTTATCCTGTTGTCCTCTCAAAAAATCAAACATAGAAGCTTGTATATAGATGCCCCGAGTAAGTGAGTCAAATACATTCTTGCATATCCTTTCTGCAGTCTTTTCTAAGCTGAGTACGGCAAAATAGGTGTCTCTGATATACAGTTAAATGAATGTGCTTGTTCCTCAGTCAACCGTCAACCCAAATGACCAAGGAAAAGGAATAGAACATACCAGTTGAGCTTTGGTTCTACCAGTAATTACACATTGTCTTAGCTCTGGATGATGCTGTGCGGACATACACGTTGCGTATGCAAGTGCTAGCTCACACTCACAAAGGGTCGAAACAAACACTCACGTGGCCTGATGACCTAGCATGGAGCCGCAGTATCCAAAGGAAGACTTTGAACATAGCTCATTCGTCGCCACTATATCAATCGTAGAGTGTCAATACTAGTGCCGATCTCATGGGACGAAGTCTAGGTGCCAAGCTCGGAGATTCTAAACTACAGACGCACATCTTCCAACCTTGGTTCAACGGTCCTGCCTTGATGAAGAAAAGCAAGCCATCTTCGACCTCAGAAGCCGCGGGATCAATTGGCCTGATTATCCATTGCTCTTTAGAGAGTCACTTATGGCGAACTTATGGGCATGGAGCTTTGAAATCAATCATTAAAATATCAAGCAAGTGGCTGCAACTCTATCGTTCTAGCAAGTCGCCGATGCAAAAACACACATACAGGCTAGCAGTGGCACTAAGACGGGTGCTGTGCTCCTTTTTCACTGTAGCACTCTCAGGAAGTCGTTGATCGGTTCTCCCGCTGTGCACGTTGCATTTCGGTTCAACGCGATGCTTTGCAGCTGAGCTTGTCTCGATGGCTCATTCTGTGTCGAGATGATATCTTCGGCCCAACGGCCATGCTGCAAGGAACGCTTGTCTCCACATCACCTGGTGCAAGGTGAAACTGAATGAAGCATCCGTTATATCCGTTCCTCACTGAACGAATGAAGAGGGCCCACTTGGCCATTGTTAGATAGAAAGCCAACCTACTATCAAAGGTGTGCATGATCCCATATGCCAGCAACAAGCTGGTGTACACACCCTCTACTGTCTTCTCTTGCAGCATAAGGTCATAAAGCCCGTCTGTTAGCGTCTTTGCTTTCAGCGATTCTCGCACTTCTTTCACCAAGCCTTTCTCACGCTGCAAGCGCAGTAGGCCTGGGACGCCACGAAGAATGATCAGGTTTTGAACATATAGCCATATAGCTTATTTATCAGCATTATATCATAGAGTTTCAATTTCATGGGGCTAAGATGAGCTTAGCCTAGGTGCCAAACTCGAAGCTATATAATATACATAGAGACACGCATCTTTCAACCTCGGTTTTGCTCAAAGGTCCTGCCTTGATGAAGAAAGCAAGCCATCTTCGACCTCAGAAGCCGCGAGATCACTGGCCTGATTTTCTCTGTTGCTCTTTGGAGAACCGAATATTGACATAGAATTAATGGGCAAGCGATCAAATCAAGCAAGTGACCGAAACATACCGAAACGCAGTCTTTCTGGCAGGTCCCCGATGCAAAATAACACATGAAGGCTGACAGTGACACTAAGACCGGTGCCGTGCTCCCTTTTTCACTGCAGTGGCACTCTCAGGAAGTTGTTGATTGGTTCTCCCGCTGTGCACGTTGCATTTCATGCAACTTGAAACGCTTCAATGAAAGGCTTCACATGCTGAGCTGGTCCCGATGGTTCATTCTGTGTCGAGATGATATCTTCGGCCTAAAGGCCATGCTGGCAAGGTGGCAAGAAAGAGCCTTGTCTGCGCATCACCTGGTGCAAGGTGAAACTGAATGAAACATCCGTTCGTCACTGAACGCAAGGAGAGGGCCCACTTGGCCGTTGTTACATAGAAAGCCAACTGACTGTCAAATGTGTGCATGAGCCCATAAGCCAGCAGCAAACTGGTTAGCACACCCTCTATTGTCTTCTCCTGCAACATGAGGTTGTAAAGACCATCAGTGAGCGTATTCGCCTTGAGCGAATCTCGCACTTCTTTCACTAAGCCTTGCTCACGCTGCAATAGCACTATGCCTGGGACACTACGAAGAATGACGAGGATCTGGAAGATACCAAACCAAACATGGCCGGTAGAAATCCATGTGAAGACAGCCAGGATGTCACCAAACATGTCCATGGAGACGAGGACAAGGTCTACACGGAGAAGTACGTATGCAAACGTGCTGAGTTGTGCTGTTTTGTTTTTCTCAAGCTCTTCTTGCAACCTTTGGACTTCGTCATCCACAGCCACACGGACAGCAACATCCACATCATTGCGGGTGCGTGAAACACAACAAGAGATCATCAAAAGAACAACGGCCAAAGCGGGCGAAAGGGACACTGTGTACCCGACGATTTCGAAAACAATGGCCCCGACATCTCCTAAGAATTTGGACGATTCTCGAAACTTTGGTACGTTCAGGCACTGACTGGCACGTAACAGCTGTGATGACTGCAAGCAACCATAAAAATCACTCAATCTACCTGCCCAATGCCAGGACCAGCCTACCGGCTCAAAGTCTGCCAGCTTGGAGTCTGCTAGCTCGCAAAGCAGGTATGGCGGCAGCTGAGACATAATCGAGCAAAACCTTGTCATCGCGTCATCCGTGACAACCTGGCATGCGGGAGCCATTGTCCACCTCATCTCGTAATGGTTTTGCCTAAAGTCTTTAAGGCAATCCACCATGGGCTTTGGCTGATAACAACCATGTCCTGGTTCCAGCAAGCGTACCCAGTGTTCAAGCATTATGTAATATGGGAATTTTAATGACTCGAAATTGCAATGTCCAATCCAATCGAAGTCAGAATCATTATGGACAAGATGTCGTAGTATTTGCGACAACTGCTTGGTGCAAGTGGGATCCTCAAACAGCTGATTGCAGCGGTTGATATTCCTGTAGTCATCAGGAGTATACGTGTTGTTGGCTTCACCGTATCCATAAAGATAAACGTCATGAGTAACATAGTAGTCATTGAGTATCCAATAGCCGCCTTCATAACAGGATCTGTGTGCAGACAAAACGTGCTCACAAGCAGTCTTCGCATCCAAATAAGTCTGCCGGCAGCAGCGAAATGTCTCATCCTTTGTCTCACCACTCAGTTGTTGTTGAATGGCTCTTATCCCACCACTGACAGGGCCCTCTACATCCTCTACAAAACTGTTCCAGTAAGGGAAGGCCATAAGACTTGCACCAGCCAAGAATCGCAACGGTAAAGAAACCGTATAGAAGAACCTGGCAGGTTTGGATTCCGGGCCCAGTCCCAGAAGTGAAGCGTGAGTCGGCATCAACACCGTCGCAGGGTATAGAATTGGCTCTGTCAGGCTTTTTGCACGGCAGGCTGCTGGTGCCAACAGCAAGAGACAGGCAAATCCAAATACAAACGGCGAAGTCAAAAGCCCAAGAAGTGGGATCGTCAAGCCGGAGAACACCAACATCAAAGTTGACGTCCAAACGAGCCATATGCGGAAACACTGCTGCTTGATGACATTCTTGGCTGCACGTTCTTCGATGTGCTTTGTAAAAGACATATCCAATCGACAGCACTAGGCTATCAGTGCAAACACTCGTGACTTGATCCAAAATGATTGCAAACATCTCAGTTTAAAGCAGCTCCTGGCAGCATGTCCAATTTGGGATGCCCGACACCCTGGCAAGAGAGAACGTTGAGGTTCATGAATGAAGTGCGCAATGTAGGTTTTGAACTTTTACTTTCAAAAAGCACTTGGAAGAGTCCGGGACAATGGGGTTTCTCACTGGTTCGAATGTGGACTTAGACCCTGGTGGGAAAACCTAATGGATTGTAGGCGACTCTGAACATATAAAGGCACCAGCAGCAATACTTTAGACTTTCCTTACAGTACATTGACGTAGTACCAATTGACGGTCCATGATGATCCTGGTTGTGCCAAAAACTATCCTGGCAATAAGATAGCAGTGCGCCAGCCAGCCGTTTTGGATACTATTAACCACTGGGCACTTTGACGACTTTGTCAAGTTTTAAATCCTTGACAACCACTCGAATGTAAAGAAACACAAGTCCAAAGTTGAGAAACAACATCATGTGCGTGGCAACTATGGCCGCGCATCACCTGGGAGCCTCCTTTAGTCATGACGCTCACCGCTTCAGCCACGTAGCACACGCGGCGTTCGTCGTGGTTCACCCGGTAGAGCGGCCGGAAGCGCGTGCGGCCCGGTAGAGCTTCGGACAGGCCACTCTGCGGCGCCTGAGAGAACGTTGGCGCGAGAGAACGGTTTTTGGGTTTGTCAGGTGCGGGGAGCACATCTTCAGAGTCCGCCACAGCCCAACTCGAACAGGCAAACAGTTTGGACGCAATACGAGCTAAGCTGCCAAGCAACTCCTGCAAAAACATGTGTGCAAAGAAGCTTACTGATTGGGACAAAGGGGAGCGCCATGGGGGGCGGAGTTGTATACATTGTAGAAACATGCACTTTGGGTGCAATCAGCTAATCAGCAGCTTGCAAATCACTATCTGACCATCTGATCATCATCTGAATGCAGCCGAAACAATGCCACCCCCTCCCTCAAATCAAGAGCACACAACAAAAGCAGCAAAAGCTATTGATATAAACACCAAACAACTCACCCAACACGATTAAACAAAACATTGAACAAACAAACACATTCGGAGACTCTTGGCGCACAGCGAAGGGACATATTCTCCGTTCGCTCCCGTCTGATGGAATGACTTTCAAACCGCTGCTCCTGTCTGTCTCAATGTTAATTTCTCCAAACTTGGCACCCTCTCAACACACTCTTCTCAATGGCAGAACGACTATAAAGTACATAGCCTTCAATTCCCCCATCTGGTGGGATTGTTCACGGAGGCAACGCTTTCTTGCTTCAGGCGATTTCAGGCGAAGAACCTCCATATATCACCGTTCGGTGTGGTGCGAGTCGGAACCGGGTGACGGACGGAAGAACTCCTGTCCGATCCTTCGGACTCCTCACGGGCCTCCGGAGACGCGGAGACGGCACGAACTGGAAGACCTCAGGGTGCACAAGTGGCATCGAGTGGCCCGCCAGCAACGCAGGTTTGGCTCGTCAGTGTTAGTTGTGAAACGCTCGTTGAAACCGTACTTAAACCTCTAGATTAACTAATAGATTTCGATGACACTTGGGAAAGCAAACCATTGTAAAGGAGAATCCTGCCAAAGCTGGGGAACAAATTGGGTTGGAGAAGAGGAAAGTGAACATGGAGGGCCATGAACAAATTATCAACATTGTTGAGCTTACCGACCGACCTTCTGGACATGTAAAAGCTGGCTGAACAGCATAAAACAAAGACACACTAGCACTAAATTATTCTGCTCTTTCAGCACAGGGCAATATGCTTTAAAGAGAGAAGGCAAACAGCTATGTAGTAGGTCTCAATTATTCATGAACCATACATCTCAAAGGGCAATTGAGGTTCACTTGAGGTTCTGCGATCCAAGGGCAAGAAAACCCGCTTTCGAGAACTCACCAGGGCCTCTTTTAATGGGCTCCATGCTCCTGGACCTTGTCTAGGTCAATGAACTGCGTCGTTCAACGTTTGTGCTCCATGCTGGCCACCAAAGGTACGGTACACCACAGGGTGGCAATCATATAGGTGGTTGGCCCAAAAGCTCAGGGGTTTTACGATGATTCGTGCGTTGGCCGAAACTCTCTTATGGTGAAATGACGCAAAAACGTCACAAAGCTAACACTGAGCCGCATGCTGCAGTTCGCCACTATTCCCTGTGGCACTCTTACCAGCAGGAAGTTGTTGTTCTCCTTCTGTAAGCGCTTTGTATTTTGTGAAACTTGGATTGCCAAAAACGGCTCACAGTGCGAAAACTTCGAAGACTTTTCCGAAGACACGCAGAAGCCCTCAGTGTGATCAGAATTTTGGAAGACTTTGCAGCTGTCAGCCTGTCCCCATAGTTCATTCCGTGTCGACATGATATCTTCGGCCCAAAGGCCATGATGGCAAGGTATCCAGAAAGGGCCTTGTCTGCACATCACATGGTGCAGGGTGAAACTGAATGAAACATCCGTTCGTCACTGAACGAATGGAGAGAGCCCACTTGGCCATCACTAAACTGAAAGCCAAATCACTATCAAATGTGTGCATGGTCCCATAAGCCAGCAGCAAACTGGTTAGCACACCCTCTATTGTCTTCTCCTGCAACATGAGGTTGTAAAGACCATCAGTGAGCGTATTCGCCTTGAGCGAATCTCGCACTTCTTTCACTAAGCCTTGCTCACGCTGCAATAGCACTATGCTTGGGACACCACGAAGAATGACGAGGATCTGGAAGATACCAAACCAAACATGGCCGGTAGAAATCCATGTGAAGACAGCAACGATGTCACCAAACATGTCCATGGAGACGAGGACAAGGTCTACACGGAGAAGTACGTATGCAAACGTGCTGAGTTGTGCTGTTTTGTTTTTCTCAAGCTCTTCTTGCAGCCTTTGGACTTCGTCATCCACAGCCACACGGACAGCAACATCCACATCATTGCGGGTGCGTGAAACACAACAAGAGATCATCAACAGAACAACGGCCAAAACGGGCGAGAGGTTCACAATGTTCAATGTCAGACTAAAAGCTGAGATGCCAAGAGAGGGAATTTGTCCAATCTGAAAGACCCTTGTCGCTGTTTCGCAGTAATTGGAATCCAGCAGTGGCGATTCTTCTGCCCAAAGTTTACAACGAACATAGTCAGACAACCTATGACGAAATGAGCCGTCTGTCAGCTTGCAAAGTAGGTATGGCGGCAGCTGAGACATAATAGAGCAAAACCTTGCAATCTCATCGTCCGTCAAAAGGCATGCAGGAGCCATCACGCTATGCTCCCAAGGATTATAAAAAGTGTAATTAATGACTTTAGAGAATTCAATGCAATCTGCTGTTGGTGGCTGAACACAGCCATGACCTGGGTAATGAACGTAATTGTTCCAGTTTTCAAACAAATAATCTACCCCTAGCCAACCACTGTCCTGCAGCCTGCAACTAGAATTCCAATCATGGCTCTTAGAGTCATTTAGGACAAGGAACGGCAGCACTTTCCACATCCGTCTGCTGCAATCGGGATCCTCCAGCAGCTGATTGCAACGGTCGAGAACATCATTGTCATTTGCCAACCGTTCTCCGTATCCATAATAAGAGCGGTAAGAGTAGCGGCCATCCCAGATTTGATAGCCGTGTTCGTAGCACGACCTGTGTTCTGACCAAAGGTGCTCACAAGCACTCTTTGCTTCCCAATAAGTCTGCTCGCAGCAACGAACAATCTCATATTTTGTCTCAGTACTTCTGGGTTTAAAAATCCAGCCATCTTCTCTGGTCACCATTGGTACAAAACTAGTGGCAACGCGAATGGACAAAGAGAAGGTGTAGAAAATCCTGGCAGGTTGAGATTCCCGGTCCAGTCCCAGCAGCGAAGCACGCGTCGGCATCAAGGTTGTCGCAGGGTACAGAATGGGCTCTGTCAGGCTTCTGGCACGACAAACTGCTGGTGCCAAAAACAGGAGACAGGCAATTCCAAATAGAAAGGGCGAAGTTAAGAGTCCCAGGACTGGGATGGTCAAAGCGGAGAACACCAACATCGAGGTCAACGTCCAAACGAGCCATGTTCAGCAACGCTGCTTCTTGAGGACATTCTTGGCTGCACGTTCTTTGACGTGCTGTGTGAAAGACATGATCAATTGAAAGCACTAGGTCACTAGGCCATGGGTGCAAACACTCATAACTTGATCCAAAATGGTTGCAACGATCTCAGTTCAAACAGCTCATGGAATGAATCTTCTGTAAAGGTCAACACCTTAAACATGTGATTCCCATGTCCACGCTGGGTCGCCGGACAAGCTTGCAAGAGAGAACGTAGAGAGGTTCGTGAAGCGTGGAAAGCACATCGCCAGCATCAGCTGCAACACATCTCTTGAACCGATGGAGGCAATACGAGCTCAGCTCAATTCTGTAAAAAATCATGTGGGCAATGTAGGTGACCGAGTGGGACCCCTACTGAAATGGTGATTGATCAACACTGTTGAATTTTGAGACTGGCCCAAATTTAAAGGTGTGTCTTTTTTTTGAACTCTTGGAACATATTAACGCAGTGTCTATCCACGATCCTGGTTGTGCCAAACAATGATCTGCGGTGGAAGTCTGCCTCGGGTCATTGAAACCACTTGGGACTTTGACCTATATAGATCCACCAAAAAACCGCGACAAGCACCCAAATGTGTTCAAACATATTCACCAATCCAAATTGGATTCTGTGGCACATTGCCGCTTTCACCCTATCAGTAGATCATCTCCGATGTCCCCAGTGTCTCAACCCTTCATGTCAAGTGCGCTTCATGTGTACCTCTATTGCCCAGGTGACCAACACCGGTGACCAGCACTGGTCTCACCGTTGGGCACCTCCGAAGTTGGTGGCCATGACGCTGACCGGTTCGGCCACCACGTAGCGCCGGGGGTCGTCGTTGACCTGGGGTCGATGGCGTGTTCAGGTGGATTCGCGACGTGGATGATGGGAGATAACAACTTCATCTAGCTCAGAACCATGGCCAAAACCTATATGGTTATATAATGTAGTTCAGAACCATAGGCAAAACATACCAGAACCATAAAGACTTGGTTCTTTGTGTCCTTCATGGTTCTGGAGCTCCAACCTCATACTTGAGTGGCTAGTGTTCTGTCAACTCTACTGAACCCAGGTCCATAGCGAGGTGAAATCACACAAGTCCAGTCCAATACTTCCACAACACTATTGGTCAGTGGTTGGTGTTTTCTTTGTTTTCTTTGTTTTCAATACTATCCAACAGGGGAGATGCCAGGTTGGTGTTTTCTTTGTTTTCTCCACGATCAAGATTGATGAGCCGTTTATCATCCCCCACCATGTTCCCGCCGAACCTTCCTTTTTCATCTCTCAAGAAAGGCTGCGGCTTCCACCATGATATGGTCCCCCGCAGCTCGGCCCCAGCTTGAAAGCTCCGAGGCACCCAGAAACCCACCAACTCTTT